GGGGCTGATATAATTTACCTGACAGAAAGGTAATTTATTGTACTACAGATTTGAGTGCGTGTGATGGGGTGATACTCCCACAGGGCAGAACTGCAGGTGAGCCTGTGCTGTGAAGGTTTGTTGGGACTGTGCACTGGTGCACTGGCATTTCTGCCAAGAAAGCCAATGGGATCCTGGAGTGCATCAAGAAGAGTGTGGCCAGCAGGTCGAGGGAGGTTCTCCTTCCCCTCTACACTGCCCTAGTGAGGCCTCATCTGGAGTACTCTGTCCAGTTCTGGGCTCACCAGTTCAAGAAAGATGAGGAGCTATTGCAGAGAGTCCAGCAGAGGGCTACAAGGATGGTGAGGGGACTGGAACATCTCTCCTACGAGGAGAGGCTGAGGGAGCTGGGCTTGTTCAGCCTGAAGAAGAGAAGGTTGCGAGGGGAGCTAATATATACTTACAAATATCTCAATGGTGGGTGTCAGGAGGATGGGGCCAAGCTCTTTTCAGTAGTGCCCAGTGACAGGACAAGGGGCAATGGGCACAAACTGAAGCAGAGGAAGTTCTGTCTGAACATGAGGAAGAACTTCTTCCCTCTGAGGGTGACGGAGCACTGGCCCAGGCTGCCCAGGGAGGTTGTGGAGTCTCCTTCTCTGGAGATATTCAAGCCCCGTTGGACTAGATGACCCACAGAGGTCCCTTCCAACCCCTACCATTCTGTGATTCTGTGGTGTAGCTCCGTCGTTACTGGTGCGCGTCTCTGTATGGCTCACGCACAGTTGTGTATGGGCTCAACTTCTGTGGAGATATCAAATTCATTATTCTGCAAAATAACATAAATATTGCATATGTATTGGAGTGGACTGCTAAAGTGTGCAGCTTGTACAGTGGGGTAAAGATCTCCAGAGTACACTTGTTTTACTTCGTAGCTTCGTTAAGCAATCAGTTCTGCTTCTGTTGAAGCCTGGAGAGCAGCAGCTCACCAGCACCTTAGCTCTGGAAGCAGTTGGAGCTTCTTTTAAGGGGAATATACTTTATAATTTTTTTAAGTGCACTGTTGAATAATTACAACTTTGAACACGTCTACCTAAGCCATACTTATGTATGATTTGTTGAAACGTCTTACTTTGAAGTTCTGTTAGATTACTGCAAAGGGAGGAAGAAAATCTTGTGCATTAACATGCGAAAGTTTCACTGTCCTGCCAGAAAAATTACATCTTTGTCAAGCAAACTAAATCCTGTTTTGAAAGGAATGTCGATGGATAGGAAAAGATTTTTGGAGTAGCTAACTTTTTAGTTTTTATAAGTGAATCTTGAGTTATGAACAGGTGAGTTTGAATTTGTTAAGATATCATCTGCTGCTCCTGGAATTACTGGAGTCCTGGATCTTGGGGTCTTACCTCAAGTATCCCACTGTAGTCAGGAAGCAGCTTAAACCTTCAGCAAGGGACAAGCTTCTTCAGTGTTACTCTGCAATAATGGAGTAACTCAGTTACTGCAGAGTACCTGAAGTGCTGTAGGCTCATACCTCACTTACTCCAATATAGTTCATCCACCATCCCTCAAAAAAATCCTGAGGCCATTCTGCGTATTGTGTCTTACCTCAACGGTATTTCAAAGCATCTTGTATCTTTCTGCAATTAATGCATTTCATCGTGGGAACCCACACTTCTCTTTTTTGCTTCTGCCATGAGTTATTTTCAAGACAATTTGCAGGTAAATTAACTTCTTTGCATATTGGTTACTTAGTCTGTAAATAATGACATAGTATTAGTTCATAAACACTGTGGAGGTGGTCAGATAGTATCATAGTGTCATTACCACTGCCGTGCAGCTGACCTCTGGTGTTATTCTGCCTCGCCCTGCTCTACCTTTGCAAATGCCGCAGGTGGAGCTTCTGGGAGTAGGTGAAGAAGTCTGTGCAACTTCTGTGTTGTGGAGTCTCATTTATGATTCTCATAAAGCTAGAGCCAAAGCCTTAGTGTTTGGAGGTCTTTTGTAAGATTGTAAAAGAACAGCAGAGGTCACTTCATGTCTGGCACAGCTGTTTCTGTTCCTTGAGTTAAAGTGATGCTCTTTAAGAAATAATATAGAATTGGATGTTTAGGTAGGCTTCATTGCAAAACTGGAGATGAATTTGTGTGAGAAGAAGTTTTACATCTTGTGTTTATTTACATCTTTCTCTATAAGCCTGCGTTGAGATTTTTTTCAAATGTATCCAAAGAGAGGAGAGGAGGCTTGTTCATTCTTATGGAAATCATTCTGGAAGTACATATCCTACAGCAGTGCTATTCATTCTTCAGGTATTGATATCGAGCTTTTAGAAAAGATGTAGGGATGATTAGTTTGTACTGTATGGTTTAATGAGTACTATATTATTTTAATTTTATTTATTGAGAAACAGGAACTATGTGTCATTACTTAGCTACATAGTTGTTGAATAGAGTGCCATCATGCTCGTATTTATTGACTGTGAATTAGGAGTGATGTAAATTTGTGTTGTAGCATGTGGTGTAAGCAGTTGCAGAAACAAAGACAAGAAATGTTAATTTCTGAAGCTGCAATAAAGTGATGAAGATGATGTTTCTGTAGGATCGGTTTCCAGGTGAATTCTTCCACTGATTTAACTCATGAAATCCCTTTCTAATGCCAGATGATTGGGTCAGTAATGTAGAATAGAAACAAATGGCTTTTCATTATACTTGTGTTATATTGCAAATACAGCTGTTCCCGTTATCTTAAAGGATCACAGTTGAAAGGAGCTTCATGAAAGAATATTACCTTAAAAAAGTGACAAATAATGTTGTGTGTTTAGAACGTTGAACTATTCTGAAGATGTGGACTACCCTCTTAAACTATTACTTGTACAAAGATTTCTGTGGGTCAGCACCCTGAACGTGTTAAGGGACAACTTGGGGGGTGCTGTGAGGGTTCCCATTAGCTGGAAGGGACGGAGAAAGGGTGGAGCATTTGGCACCCCTTGTCTGGGTACCTCCAGTGCCGTGGGCTGAAAGGAGTGAGGGGGGTGCCAGTCTGGTGTGCTCATCACCTCTTGTCTTTGGTCCATATGTACCAGAAAATAAATTTTTTCTTTGTCTCTACCATCTACTTGTTCTATGCTATTTAAAAAAAAAAAAATAAAAATTGAAGGATGGCATTACATGCAACTGTACTCAGAGTGTAGGTACCGTATTTCAGATTTCATCCATAGATGTAACGTGTGACCTGCAACTTCCCATTTACTCGGAGATATCCAAGTAGTCAGATGCCCACTAGTTAGTTAAGTAGTTGTGGGCAGCTCCTGTTAATGCTTGTGTTTGTCCCTAAAGCAACTCTGAATGGCTTCTTTCTCTTCCACACTATGCCCTGTACATATACAATTGTGTAAAGTACCTTCTGAAATATTTTTAAGTTGCTTTTGCTAGTTAAAACTTGGATACTGCTGGAAACCACAGTTTTCAGTTTATCGGGAATGAAATCAATAAGCTCTGTTAATTACTTCTTAACTTCCATTAAAATGTTCAAGTGACTGTACTCAGGACTTTGTGGTCTTTAAGTCAGTATTAATTTTTAGGCTTATTCTGTTTAAAATAATTTGTTGTACATAGCTTTGGAACATAATTTGGTGTCTACGTATGAAGAACAAATTTAGAATTCTATGGACACTTTACAAATCTATTGGTGAAGCTTAAGCTGAAATAGCTACAGTCTAATTAAATATATATGTACATACACACACCCCTGTGGATTGTGCATTACTGTCTGCGTATCTTCCTTATAAAGCATTATCCCCTTTTAATGTTGTGATTTGCAACTTTCCTGGCTGCCAAGAGGCTGTTTTGAAAAATCTTGAGGAAAGAAGCTGTAAATATGTCATTACGAAACAAATCACAGGCTGTCACCCCCTCAAGGCTTCATCTGAAAGGAGCAAGCACTTTTAAGATGGTTCTTTGTAAAATGAATTCATCTATAGCAGTTTAGTATAACCACTTTGATTACATAGAGGTTAGAAAAAACACTTTCTTCTTTAATCTCCCTATTACATGAGCCTGTTAAACAGTTTCACAAGGAGAATAACATGCTGCTGCAGATTTTTCTTTTTATGGTAAGTACTGTAGTGGCAGATGCTGAAGGCAGAACGGGAGAAGCTTTGAAGTTTAAAAAAATAGTCCACAGTGTAAGCACAAGAGATACGCCCTTTAGGTAGAATTCAAAGAGTCATTTCCCCCTCTGCATAGTGGGTATGGAAAGGTGTGTATGCTGCTCAACTCCTTTGCAGAAGCATAAAGACTGAAAGGCAGCGCTTGGTTTAAACCTTACTGATTTATTTTGTTGGTTTCTGTAATTCAGATGGATGTACAAACCTCAAATCAATACAAGGCAAGCTAAAGGCCTCACTACTGAAAGATAAGCCGTAAATCTGCTATTGCCAGGTTTCTCCACAAGAGGAAGATGCAATTATTGCAATGTTTGCTGTAGAAGAGACCAAAAAAAGAAGTAGAAATGTTCACTGGTGTTTAAAAGAACAAACAACTTTTCTCATTTGATTTTTACTTTATTTTACACTACTTGTGCTTCATTCATAAACTTTTAATCCAGCCTTAGGTTTATGGACAAGATGCTAAGTACTGTAAAGCGAGGATTTGTGGATCTCCAAGTGTTTAGCATACAGTGTGAGTGCTTCTAAAAATAAATTGTTTGCTTCAGTTCTGCATCTGAATACTTAGAGCCATCGCTTGCCTGTTTTTTCCTCAGATCTCCTGCTGCCTGTCTGAAAACAGATGAAAAATAACTTACTTCAAATTTTCATCATACATAATTTGAACAGAATACTTCTATTTAAGAGTGATGTGTTATTACTCTGGAGAATTAAGTTGTCAGTCACATACCCAGTTGTTTGTGAGGACATCAGATAACAAAATGCCAAAATGCTGTATTTCTTTGATACAATAATGTATCTGTTAGAGCCTATATTTCTTGATTAGACAAAATGGCTAATTCTCTTCGTTCTATTTCAGCTTTACTTTTGGAAGCTCAGTCAACACCGTTTCAAATAACTCCTTCAACCATGGCAAATATTGTGAAAGGCCTGTATACACTACGACCAGGTAAAAAAGAAAAATGTTTCTAGGAGTCTCTTGTACTGTGGTTGTGATGTTTTCCTAAATACACGTGCTGCCTGTCTAATACACATTTAGCAAACAAAAGCACCTTGTGTTCTGTCCATCATAATGCTTAATTCTACTATGCAAAGGCCCTGGTGGTTCTTATTGCTCATCTCCATGACCTGCACAAGGTACCACGTGAATACCAAGCTAATTTTAAAACAGCTAGTCTGCGTTTGAAAAGAGTTTAGAAACAGGAAGTATTCAAAATACCCACAAACAAATGGCACTTGCTTCTCTTTCTTTTGCAATACTGATACTTTCTCCTTACCCTGATGTGACCGAGAGGATTGTGTCAGAACTCCAGTCTGTTTTTGCTTTGCAATCCCCATTTATAGAAATAGAATTGAGGATGGGAAATCTTTGCCAAAAAAACCCTTTTTGTAGTGCAGTGTTTGGTATGTATACAAGCCAGGAATGTGGTGGACCCTCCATTTACAAAATGCATGGATAAAGCACTTTCAGCAACCAAGGATTATTTTTGCAACAGCAAAATGAACACCCTACCATAATTTTTAAGGCAGTACTCATTTCATTTTTACAAACTGTTCAGTACCAAAGAAAGGAAGGGTATATACAGAAGTATAAAGTATAATTCTTCTGTAAAGCAGCTCAGTATGGTTTCGTTGTACCACACAGTATTGTAGGTGATGGACTTGTGATTTCCCAGTTGTCCGTTTCAGATGATCTCTGTCTTGATGTCTACTTCATAACACAACAGATACTGGTTGCGTTGCTGTCATGGACATAATCATGTTTTTGAATAGTTGTCTTAAGTCTGTAAGATCTTTAAGTACAATAAAAAAATGTTCCTACAACTTGTGATACTGCTTTCTACAGCTGGGTACAAAGACCCAGGTGATTGACTTTAAGCTATTGCTTATACAGGTACACATTTGCTCTAATTACCTGCCCTCAAACTTCTCAGCCTCTGAGAAAGCGAGGAGTTTTAATGTCAGTCTGACCAGAAGAGCACAGAATAGACTTCTTGATGTAAAAGGGTATTCTTTGGTGGTGCTGGTTCTTGAGGATGAATTCTGAAACAGTCGGGGCAAGAGTTCCCCTGAGGTAGTGCTTCTCACTTATTCTGTGGGCCGTGCTCCGTTGGATGTGTCATGGGGACTAGGGAAGTAAAGCAGAAAATTTGGCCAGTGGGAGGTGCTGGGGGACTGGAACCGCACTGGGAAGCGTCTGTTTAGACAGCGCAGAGAGCAGAAGGAGAAGCTACGCTGATGTGGCTGGTGGCCATGGCCTTTCACTTCCCTTTCTTTTCTTTTACTTTCTCTTCAAGTTGAAAGTACTTGATAGCTGTTAGACTGCAAATGTTGCCGGCAAAGACTGTCTTCTGATTCCAGTATGTGGTGGGCACAATAGAGAAGGCTGAAGCCTGGGCAGGTGCTCTGGCTGCTAGTTGGCCCGCTTGGATTTAATCTGAAATACTCTTTCCACCTCACCTAGAATAATCTGGCAGTGGCATGAAATACCCTACCACAGTATTTCATGTTGAGAATTCCAAGTCAGTTTATTAGCTTGGCTAAATTGTTCAGTAGCAGTCGGTTTTCAGTAGGTAAGGTGTTCTATGTGGTACCTTTTACTGTAGTTCATAAGATGAAAAGTGCTGTTTCATGCCTGTAGAGGGTTTTTTTGGTATATGTTGTTTTATTGAGCACTGCTGTGATCTGGGGGATCCAGGGAACTACAGGTCTCTCAGCCTGACCTTGACGCCAGGGAAGCTTATGGAGCACATCACCCTGAGTGCCATTGCACGGCACATACAGGACAGCCAGACCATCAGCCCCAGCCAGCATGGGTTTATGAAAGGCAGGTCCTGCTCGACCAACCTGATCTCCTGCTATGACAAAGCAACCTGCTTAGTGGATGCAGGAAAGGCTGTGGACGTTGTCTACCCAGACTTTAGTAAGGCCTTTGACACTGTTCCCCACAGCACCCTCCTGGGGAAACTAGCTGCTCATGGCTTGGATGGGTGTTCTCTTTGCTGGGCAAAAATCTGGCTGGATGGCCGAACGCAGAGGGTGGTGGTAAATGGAGTTAAATCTAGCTGGCAGCCGGTCACGAGTGGTGTTCCCCAGGGCTCGGTTTTGCATCCGATCTTGTTTAACATCTTTATCAATGATCCAGATGAGGGGATTGAGTGCTCCCTCAGTAAGTTTGCAGATGACACCAAGTTGGGTGGGAGTGTCAATCTGCTCGAGGATAGGAAGGCTCTGCAGAGGGATCTGGACAGACTGGGTCGAGGCCAGCTGCATGAGGTTCAACAAGGCCAAGTGCTGGGTCCTGTTTGTGGGTGACAACCACCCCATGCAATGCTACAGGCTTAGGGAGGAGGTGCTGGAAAGCTGCCCAGCTGAAAAGGACCTTGGGGTGTTGATTGACAGCTGCCTGAACATGAGCCAGCAGTGTGCCCAGGTGGCCAAGAAGGCCAACAGCATCCTGGCTTGTGTCAGGAATAGAGTGGCCAGCAGGAGTAGGGAGGCGATCGTGCCCCTGTACTTGGCACTGGTGAGGCCGCACCTTGAGTGCTGTGTGCAGTGTTGGGCCCCTCACTACAAGGAGGACATTGAGGTGCTGGAGCACGTCCAGAGAAGGGCAATGAGGCTGGTGAGGGGTCTGGAGAACAAGTCTTATGAGGAGCGGCTGAGGGAGCTGGGGCTGTTTAGTGGGGAGAAGGGGAGGCTGAGAGAGGACCTTATCATTTTCTACAACTACCTGAAAGGAGGTTGTAGTGAGGTGGGGGTTGGTCTCTTCTCCCAACTAACCAGTGATAAGACGAGAGGCAATGGCCTCAAGGTGCGTCAGGGGAGATTTAGATTGGATATTAGCAAAAATTTCTTTACTGAGAGAGTGGTCAGACATTGGAACCGGCTGCCCAGGGAAGCAGTGGAGTCATCATCCCTGGAGGTGTTTAAAAGATGTGTAGATGTGGCACTGTGGACATGGTTTAGTGGTGGACTTGGCAGTGTTAGGTTTACGGTTGGACTTGATGATCTTAAAGGTGTTTTCCAGCCTTAATGATTGTATGATTTTGTGATGAGGACGGTTAATGCACTGGTTTTTGTTTCAACCGCCTTACTCCAGTAATGATTATTTAGTGAGTTTGCTGAGTAAAGGCCGTTGAATCTTGACATCAACCAAATAAGCATATGTGGGCTTGGACAAGAACTCATGATGTGCCTTAGTGAATATATTTAAAAGCATTTCTCTTCTTGAAGTAAAGATGAAATATAGGATAACGGCTACAAACTCTGGAAAGTGTGGCCTCAGAAATACTTGAGGAGTATTTATTTTTTCTCGGAATTTCACACACAGTTGCTATAAACCCAATTTTCAGGCTTCACTCAGTCTTCTGTGTTTCTTTATAATCAGCCTTGAATCAGCTTTAAGTTAAACTGTCTTGCTCCTGTAAGGCAATGTTCAGTGTACTGAAATGAAATCACGTTTCTCTCCTGAAGCTGAACTAATACAGGTTAATTTTATATAATGAACATTAAAAACGTGTTCGTCTAAGCTTTGGAAGATCAGTGGGAGAATTGCGTTAATTCATTTGAAAAGGGGGATGGAGAAGCAGGGTTGTATGGCGATACTGCTGTGCTTTCTAGAAGTAAAACTCAGGGAAGAGAGGTGTAAATTTTGTGAATATGCTTCCCGGAGTAAAGTGTTACAAACGATCCATTTATCAAGGTGAGTTTGCTGATCGTCGGTGCCTGTCCTTGAGAATGTCCAGAGACTCAGCAGGCCCTGTGAGGTGCAGCAAGAACGGAATTTCAATTTGATGAAGAAGCTGATGACCAAAAAAGTAGTAATTCCTTTATCTGCGTGTAAACATCTGATGTTAACAGTCTGATTATTTGTTCTGCTTTAAGGGTTCGTTTCTGTGGATTTTGGGGGTGGTTTGGGGGGTTTGGTTAGTGGTGTGGGTTTGTGGTTTTTTTTTGTGGTTTTTTGTTTTTGTTTTTTTTTAAATTCAAGATCCTAAAATGTATTTAATATAGAGCAAAGTTACATTTGTCAGAGTAAAATTTTCACAGAAGATCTTTTCCACATGTTTTGTTGTTGCTTTTCTTCTTCTTACAGAATGGGTACAGATGGCACCAGCTTTATTTTCTAAATTCATCCCAAATATTCTACCCCCTGCTGTGGAATCTGAGCTTCAGGAATATGCTGCTCAAGACCAGAAGCTTCAAAGAGAGCTTATGCAGAATGGATTTACTAGGTAATAATTATTATTCTTCAGTAGTAATTGTGCTGGACTGCTGAAATTGTAAAAATGGATACACGTTAAAATAGTGAAGAAATAATTTATGAGTTAGTAAATAACCTTCACAACTCAGTAGCTGAAGTATGACCATGTTTTCCACGTTTTGAGCACTACCAACCCTGCAGATGGTACCAAAAAGTAGATGATCGGAAGTCTTGAAATATCTTTATGAAACAGATTGTTTACAGTTCATGCATCCCTGTGTTTTGATTGCGCTTCTAGTGCGTGATCATGCTCTTGTTCAGCCTTTATTTTGGCCACTTATTTTCTGTAAGCTGACTTTTTTTCATGACTCTTCTGAAAATGTCAGTTGATGACTTCTCCTTATTCCACTTTCAGAGCCTGACACACAGTCAAGGTGTTTATTTTAAATAGGCATTTTTATTTGGAGTATTGAACTGGGGGGGGGGGGAAGAGCAAACAGAAAAAGAGACAGCAGAAAATTTTCATAACCTGTATTTGTTCACCCTGGGCTGTGCCTGTTGCTCTGTGCTGTGCTATTGAACTGCTGAGGCAGAAGCACAGCGCTTTCACCACAGCAGTGTGCCGCTCTTGCAGTAGTCTGACAATCCAAGATCAGGCTGGGGAAGCTATATGTGCTCTGTTCCTGAGAGGTTCACTTTTGCACGAAGAGACTGCATCTTCATCTTTGCTGTTGCCTGTGTAACGCTGAGAGTCTGGTCCTGTAGTGTGACCACCCACTGGATGTGGGCACGTTTAGTGTTAGATGTACTCCTGGATTTCATACTTTTGTATAGTTTTCCTAAAGAGTAATCTCTTTCTTCAAAGCTTGGTAATTTATTGAGCTTCAAAACTCTGCTAATGACCCAAATGCAAATGGTGTTGTAGACTCGCTCCTTGAAAGGTTTTCAGTTGAGGAAAATAATTTTTTGGTAGATAAGCATGAGTTAAGACACTAAAAAGAAAGCCATGAGAGCTTGGGCTGGGAAAAACAGTGCATTTGGACCAAGAAACAGAAGTCTGAGACTGACTGAAACCGAGTAGGCACATAATGCTGACAGTAGAATAGACTAGACTATTTCAGTTGAAAGGGACCTGCAGTGACCATCTAGTCCAACTGCCTGACCAATTCAGGCTTGACCATAAGTTAAAGCATGTTAAGTGCACTGTCCAAATCCCTCTTAAACACTGACAGGCTTGGGGCATCGACCACCACTCCAGGAAGCCTGTTCCCAGAGTTTGACCACCCCCTCGGTAAAGAAATGCTTCCTAATGTCCGAAAGAATGTAATGCACAGAACGAAACAAAAAAAAAAAAGGAACATTTTAGTTTTGTCTGATTTTTAATCTTAATAGTTCTGTAGGTGGCTTATAATAGTTCTGCTTACAATTGCATTTTCACACTTCATGGAGAATTAAAAATGAAATTTCAGGTAGAAAACCAATCAATTTCAAAACCACTTTTCCCTAGTTACATGAAAATAAGACAGTCTTGTCTGCTTGGCTGTGACGTTCTTTGGTGGGTACTGTGAGGAGGATACTGTGTAAAAGGCTGGGAAGGATACTGACCAGTGCAAAGGCTAGATGCCTCTGTGCTGCTTTCTTGTTAGAGACTCTGTGGGATCCTCAGAATATATTTCAGCAACTCCTGTTTTATGCAGAAAAGTAATTTTCTAGTGCTGGAACTAATTCAGTTCCATAGGAAAGTGTTTCTGTTCTGTGTGATAAGTGGGGACAAAGAAGAGATTAGGGCTTGAGGATGGTCGTACAGGGGATAACTAAGTAAAGGTTTCTGTGTCACGTATTGCTTGAAGAATCTAATTTCCAAGAGTTTCTTTTCCTCTCGGCTTTCTGAAGTATGTGATCTTCTGGATATTGGTCATGTGAAGAGTTCTGGTATGCCTTGTAGGTTTAGAAAATTAGCCCACCCTAGCCCATGCTTTGGTGCAACTGCTGTTTCTGTGTAGCTTGCTTTCAATGTATTACATAAAAATGCAAAACAAAACTTTGCAGTGGAGTAACTGTTTGATGGCATTTAGTCTCTGATGAATGTGTTTTCCACAATATATTTTATTTGGTTGTACTGCCAGGGAATCAGTGCAGTCTGGTGGAAGTTGTATAAAATGTTAGTCTGTCATCATTGAAAGGGCACAGGTAAAAGAAAACTGAATGCTGTGTGATATAGTTTATTACATGGCATTTTGCGGTGGTACTTGAAATGCATTTTGCCTTGATATTTACTTGAAGATGTAATGTGCTGCTGCTTATGTTCGGGAATTGTATATCATAGAATCATAGGTTGGAAAAGACCTCTAAGATCGTCAAGTCCAACCGTCAACCCAACCCATCATGCCTACTAAACCATATTCTGAACTGCCACATCTACAGGTTTTTTGAACAGCTCCAGGGATGGTGACTCAACCACCTCCCTGGGCAGCCTGCCCCAATGCCTGACCAC